TTTTGAACTGGACTTCAATTTAAATATGAACATGGTACTATCCACGGACTGACCCTGGGGGTCTAAACCATTTCATATCGGCAGTATATTTAATTGCAACTGAATTTGAGTGTTGCCGGATTTTGTACCCACTTTGAGTCCAGAGTGCATTGACGTTGGTGTCGCTAGAGCTTTTAAAAAAGTTAAAGGTATGTGGCCAAGAATAGGCATGTTTTTCTGTTTCAAATATATTTCGATACATGGATTACAATAAACTCAATAAATAAGACGTCCTTTGATGAATAAAAAGCATGATTTAGAAAGTGTTTCTTTCTGTAACGCGATCAGTAATTTTTTGCGCCGCCATTTTAACTGATGACGTAGGGATGTCCCTACCTATTTTTTAAAGTAATTTCTTGGAATAAATAATATAGCCAATTATGTGAATAAAATATTGTTATTTTATCTTATCAGCCTGTCAATAGCATGTTGAATTCTGTTTCACAATCTATCTGATTCACAATGTACAGTAAATAAATAGTTAATTAAAAAAAAAAAAAACAACAACAACAACAACAACAAAGCAGGCTGGCTTAGGGTTTTCCTTTTACAAACAAACGTGTAACATACCAATGCTTACTTTTTCATACATTGCAGTTGTCCTAGACAAATATTACAAATGTATTACCAGCAATAATTTACTGAAATATTGATCTATTTATAGTAACAAATTATGTGTTTGCTTTAAAGTTGCACACCCACACTTTCAAAAATTAAAGATTTTAGGAACATATAGTTAATTGTGTAAATGTTCCAAATGCCCTTTCATGCCTGAATGTACTTATTATTAATTAGTCAATATTTTTCGAAGCTACAAAACCGGTGAACAAAGGTCACCCAAGGGAGATACAAATGGTCTTTATTTAGAGGTTACTTTATTCCATTTTATCAAAGGAACTTTATTCCACTGTGTCCGAGTAAGGTTATAAAAAAACACACACAAAAAACACTTTCCTTTACAGGTTTATCTGTACTCAGAGGTGGTCGTTTTCACAGGTTTGACTATATAGAGTACAGGTTATCATTCGTATATTTTGATATACGGAAGCACAGAGGGGACATTCCGGTTTCTTCTTCTTTTCCTATCATCTCTCGTGGCCACGAGATATAACAAAAAAAAAAAAAAAAAAACAACAAACAAACAACAAATGCTATGACGTTATTAGTGTTGTTTTTTTGTAATGCTTTGTGCTGACTCAAGTTACCTTCATTCATTGACTTGACCATGTTTTATATACATGTAGTTGACAACCATAAATTATCACGAATTTAAAGATAGTTTGAAACTTGGGGTGCGCTCTGTTTTAATGAATACATTTTGCCAAAAAAGGTAAACCAGGATGTAATATTAATAACGAACTTCAGTATTATACACTACTATGTATATGTTAGTGTTCATCCGTGCTGTTCTACAGAAATTAGAAACTTCGACGGGAGCATGTTTCTAATTTCTGTAGAACAGCACGGATGAATACTAACATATTTAGTGTCAAACTTTATTTGGCCTCATTATCATTCACTATATTACGTCACTATGCGGTTTTATGAAGTACTATGAAAAATAGAAGTTGACTATGAACGTAATTCGATATAGTATCGACTTTTGTACTACTATGAAAATTAACGCACACAATTTTCAAAAAATATAGCGTTTTCATTGGATGACAAATAAAGTTTGGCACTTAAGTCGCTTATGTATTGAAATAAATATTTTTTTGTGATTTACCCGTTTAAAACATAATTTTAGTATTCATATTTTGATATATATCCGGCAATACACCGGGTGATTTCACTTCATCAGAAAATAATTATTTTACGATCATGATCAACGTAATATACGCTTTAGATTCAGTGAAGCGGAAACTGTTAAAATAATTACACTTAAGGAAAATACAAATATGGAGAGAGAAAAATAGTTATATTGTGAAAAAGATACACGTTTGAAATAATTTTATGGAATAATCTAAAATAAACATGTAATTAAATTGCCAGGTTGTAGTACAATGTCTGGTAAGTATTACAATACATCATAAATTATGTTAATTTCAACGACAGTATGTAATTATCTTTGAGTAAAATGGAATTGAATAACTCTTTATTTACATGCGTTTAATATAAACATTTTGCGACAAGGCATAGATTATTAGCTATGTCGTTTTCCAGCGCCGTATATATGCCTGTATCTTCAGACAAATTGTTGACCTTAATAGAGCTCCGATACTTTAGTTACTCGATTAAGAATTTTTTCAGATGTCTCACTTGAAATAAAATGTTAAATGGAACACTGGTTATCGGTAAGGGACCAAGTCCTACCCCATAGTACCACCCTAGGACCCTCTATAACCTACTCAATATTTGTACTTCAACCCATTCAAAATACATGTCCATACATGTCCATACAAAATCAAACAATTCTAACAAAAAATATGTTGCTGATATCAACTATGAAAAAAACCTGTGGCATACCATCATATACCGTATGGTTGTACTCGCATGACAAAGGCGTATGTACATAACCCTAGAACCCCAATGGACGTGGCACCAGTTTTACGGGGTCAATAGTTTATAGGTCAAAGTTTGCGCCAACTGTATTAAAATTTAAATTGAAGGTTAAGGTTATCAGTGCAGGCCAAATCTGTTTACAAATAAACGACAAAGAATTACACACCCACCCTGATAGGAGTCAATTATTTTCAGGTCAAGGTCTAGGTCAAATTATATTTAAGATATACATTTTGTCCTTTTAAAGATTTTTTTTCTAACAACAAAAACCCATTTCCAGTCTTGCATGCCTCCAGATGAGCCAAATATTGTCATTAAATCAAACCTGAGACAATTTTACTAAGATTTCAGGAAAAGTCAAAAGATTCAAAATTTAAGTAATTATTTACATGTTATATGTGATTGATTAATGATTGGTTATATCTCATATGTTGTTTTTTTATTGTAATAAGTGCTCTATTCTTTGAAGGGGTGTTTGTCAATGTTCGGATGGGTCGTGCACATAACAGCTAAATAAAGATGTCTTTCTTCCTTGTTCTTTTTCTGTCCAGCATTAATTTATCGACATATGTCTAAGAATATTTGATACATGTGGATGAGAGTTTTATACTAATAGGTCCAAAGCAAATTGCCACTTACTAAAGTGAGATTATGTCCATCTTAGTGTAAATTATTAAAGATCTAAGTATAAATTTTACTTGTTTATGTTTCTTTTTTTTTAATGATTATTACGTATGTATTTTATTGGAGCTCTGCATTGCCCTCTATATGTTTGTGTGTTTTCAATTCCTTTTGTTCAAAGTCATGCACTTGGGTCAACTGTTTCAAAGAAAAACGACACACTATATTACACGACATGTATTACACGACATGGGAGCTGGATTTTGAAATGTTGATTTAGAAAGACTCAAAGTCCTATTAAATTCGTGTTCGCATCATCTATGTAACCTTGGATAGTTTTAAGTCCCAAATATAATAAATCTCCGTAAAGTGCCGATGTCAATTATCGGCATTTCCCGTCATAATTCGGTGAATGATTGTGCGGCGTTGTGTTTCAAAGGGGACATAGTGTATGGCTTTCATATTTTTTAAACAATTTTTATATGATATATTATAGTGAATTTATATTTCAAACTGTCAATAGATGCAGCATATCTGTGTCATTGTTTGTTAAGGATAAAAATACCATGTCAGATCTTATGATACTTGTTTTGTTCAGAGCATAGAAACGATTGGTATATAGGGGTTGTTATTTCATAAATAACATATAAAATTGATCAGCATTATAATGGCAGGTAATTGCTGAAAATATCGAGTTTAATGTAGATGATATATAATTTGTTACACAAACATTCAATTATTTCATTACAGCATGTATCATAGTTACACTCGAAACACCTAGTCGATTTTCCATGACCCTTTATGAAATATGTGGACAGGTTCAAACAGTTGCGATTGTCCCCTTACAAAAATTATACATCCTTTTTCTCCCTTCCTTCAAAAGTATTTGCCAAAAATAATAAAATCGCTAAATTCAGGAAATATGCACAAAAGCACTTGCTAATTATAACGCGAAATTAAGGGTTGAAATCCTTATACAAATGTAGGCAAGATTTGCACGAAAAGGAGAATTTGTACGCCCAGCCGCCTTCCGACTTTTTCTAGGACCATAACTATTATTTCATATATTTCCCGGTGCCAGGAACCCCTTTTTTATAAAACTGGCCAGCAAACCTCTGGTTACATCTAATGTTGCGATGTTACATACGTATCTTGACGTTATATTGTTAAGATTTTCAATTACAAACTTCATATTTTGTATTTTACACAAAATATTTTGTCCACTTCTAGAGAACCCTATACATTTTTACATATTGTACTTTTCATATGTGATTTATATACAAGTGTGTTTTGGTCAATGATATAGGATAATGAGTTAAGTTTTCAAAAGCACGTGCGGTCTGTATAAATTTTGTCGACAGCTGTTTGTAACTTAAGTATATTTTCTAAAAAGGCTATTGTTAAAGCTATCATATCAAGTAGATGAGTATATTGATATCATCTAGTATATATAGTGCATCCATCTAAAGTTAAGATCGAGGATGGCAATACCACGTGTTTTATTCATATGACGTCATGTCTGAACGATAGGATTGCACAATAGCAAACATTGCAAGTCAATATTAAATATGTTTACTTTTTTCTGTTCTACATGAATCAGTTAAATAATTATTTTAATCCATATTGAATAAAGTCCAAGTAATCGCAAATTAGGCCCTCTCCGTCAGTCTTGTATATATGACGTCATAGTGTTAGCGTCATATTTGACGCTTTCGTGGCGTCATCATGGATCCTTTCTCCGGTTTGTTAAAGCAAGGAAAGCAGCAAGTCGTTTCCGAATATCGTCTTCTTTAATTTTAACTGATTATAAGTTGCTTCTTTCTGTAATATATTTTCAGTTCCAATGCAGAATGCAACATTCAACTTTGTGTTGGGTTTGTCGGTCGGCCTCGTGTTTGCATTCCTTGCAGTGTCTTACATGTCAGGTAAGTTTGCGTGCAAAGATAAGTTTAAAAGTGAATCAAACTTTTGCATCAATTTGACATACTTTTTTACCTAGCAAATAATAGGTTATGGGACAAGTTTGAAAGTATACCAACGGGGATATCACAAAGTATAACACGACATAAATTAATATACAAACTACCAAAACGTAACGTTATATATCACATAATGCTATGTAATGCAACACATGACATGTAACATAACATAGATAAATATAGGAGTATTTTATTCACAAATTTCGGCATGGATTACTACTTCATACTAAAATGGCTTTGTGATAAACTCATACATTATTGATATTAATGCGCCAATATTGAGTTTAAACTTTAAGACAAAGAAATTCTATAAAGGTTACGGGTTGACGTTCTAAACAAAGGTGTTTTAAGGGCCTAACGTTTCATTACTTGCTGCTTGCAAATATAAAGTTAAACTATTTGTGACCTTTATGTAAAATACACTATTTTTTCGTCTGATAATCTTTATATTTTTTAACTTTTTTCCAACAGGGCCGACAAGCATTTCCATACACACACCACGTCGAATACCGATTGAAGAAGTGGGCAAATTTAACAACGTGCATGATTCCGTCTTGACACATGAAGACCTAGATAGGATTCAACAAATCGTGCGTCCAGTCCAGTTCCAAGATGCCCACGCTCATCATGGTAATTGTGATAAAAATTAGTCAGTCAGCAGAATAGAGTGTTGTCAATACTGCATGGGTGTACAAACGTGCCTGTCCCTTTACTGTTGTCAAAGACTGATCGATTGTTGGTCCCCAGCAGTCAAAGAATTAAAATGAACCATTGCACTGCTAGTCTGTTAGTTCTAACTTAAACGCACTTGTTTACCCCATAGTTCTGTGTCCGAACATGTCTCTGAGTAAAAAAAACACAACAACATGCCTCGTCTTTTCTTTCAGACGACGACAAAGAAGCGGTGGATTTAAAAAAGAAAATCCGGGTCCTTTGTTGGGTAATGACCAGTCCCAAAAACTTACAGAAGAAAGCTATTCACGTCAGGAATACTTGGGCTCATCGGTGTAACAAACTTATTTTCATTAGTTCAGAAACGAACACAAGTTTTCCCACTGTAGGAATAGATGTCCCCGAAGGAAGAGATCATTTGACTGGTAAAACGATGAAAGCGTTTAGATACATTTTTGAGAATCATTTTAATGAGGCAGACTGGTTTATGAAAGCAGACGATGATACCTACGTCATTTTAGAAAATTTACGTTACTTCCTTTCTAGTCAAAATAAAGACGATCCAATTTATTTTGGACATCATTTTAAACCTATAGTGAAGCAAGGTTACTTCAGTGGGGGTGCCGGATATGTTCTTAGCAAGGAGGCATTGAGGCGATTTGGCGCGCGCGGGAATGATTCAAAAATATGTCGCCAAGATGGCGGCGCAGAAGATGCAGAAATCGGCAAATGTATGCAAAATTTAGAAGTGAAAGTTGGGAATTCCACAGATAAGCTTGGAAGAAGTAGATTTCATTGTTTTGATCCGGAAACCCATTTACGAGGAGGGTATCCTGACTGGTACTATAAGTATGATGCTCATGGTGCTAAAAAGGTATCACGTTAATTGATATTTAGCTCACCATAGCACAAAGTGCTTTAAGGTGAGTCTTTGTGGTAGCTCAATGTTCGTGGTCAGTCTTTTACATTTTGATTTGTACAACAACTTCTCGTATACAGATTGGCAAATAGTGATGAAACTATACAGGAATGATCCTTAATTTTGGAGGGTCCTTTATAAAACTTGCTCAAAATGGTTATGGTTATGTCATAAATAACGTAATGAATCTAAAATGTCATATTCTAGACTGTCATAAATAACTTTTTGAATCCAGAATGTCACAAATAACTTGATGAATCTAGAATGTCAGGAATTATTATAACTTAATGAATCTAGACTTTCATAAATGACTTTATGAATATAAATATACTGTCATAAATAATAATAATATGAAAGTAGAATGTCATAAAAAACTTTATAAATCTAGACGGTCATAAATACCTTTTTGAATCAAGAATGTCACAAATAACTTGATGAATCTAGAATGTCAGGAATTATTATAACTTAATGAATCTAAACTTTCATAAATGACTTTATGAATATATACTGTAGAATAATAACGTTTTGAATCCAGAATGTCATAAATAACTTTATAAACCTAGAATATCATAATCAAGACTGTCACAAATCAGTTTTAGAATCTAGAATGTCATAAATAAATTTATGAATCTAGGCTGACATAAATAACTTTATAAAACTAGACTTTAATAAATGACATTATGAATCTAAAATGTCATAAATAACTTTATAAATCTAGACTGTCATAAATGATTTACGAATTTAGACTTTCATAAATGACTTTATGAATCTAGATTATCATATACAGACTGTCACATATAATTTTATGAATACAGAATGTCATAAATAACTTATGAATACAGAATGTCATAAATAACTTTATGACTCTAGAATGTCATAAAAAACTTTATGAGTACAGAATGTCATAAATAACTTTATGAATACAGAATGTCATAAATAACTTTATGACTCTAGAATGTCATAAATAACTTTGTGACTCTAGAATGTCATAAATAACTTTATGAATGTAGAATGTCATAAATAACTTTATGACTCTAGAATGTCATAAATAACTTTATGAATACAGAATGTCATAAATAACTTTATGAATCTAGAATGTCATAAATAACTTTATGAATCTAGAATGTCATAAATAACTTTATGACTCTAGAATGTCATAAATAACTTTATGAATACAGACTGTCATGAATCAAGAATATCATACATACGAGTATTATCTAGGAATTGAGTACTTTAATGACAAACTGTACGGAAACTGGCAATAGTTTTGGTATTTAATCGTTTTTTCTTCTTTTTTTTATGCAAATAAACTTTGACATTTGTATCTTTATCTCTTTTACCATGGGCTTTAATTTAATTAAAGCCGTGCTAGTACGAATGATTGTTCAGTAGTTCTATGTTCATTGAAAAAGTATCTTTATAAATTCATCTATTTTATATTTCAGGGGAAAGAAAGTATAAGTGACTACGCAATCTCATTTCATTATGTTCCGTCAGCAAAAATGTACAGCCTCGAATTCTATGTTTATCATCTTCGACCATACGGAATAAATTCCGGACACCAGGATTTAAACCAAGACATATCATAGCGCATTTAAACATGTGATAATTTATTTGTAATAAATTCACGTTATCTTATGTTATTATACTATTTACCTTACATAAATGTGTTTCATCTAGAGTTATAAGTGGGCATTTGAATGATGTAATATCAAAGATGACGTCAGCGGTCCGAATTGATTTATTTAAAAAAAAAAAAACATGTGCATTATACAAAAATAAATTTTACTTTGAACTTTTAGCTCATATCTTTGAAGATTTCGAGCTCTTGCTAGTCATGTTGCCGTTGCCATCCAGAAACTTTAAGATTGGCCATTATTGTTTTGAATTTCTATATGGAGTGTCTTTAAACTTGGAAATATCAACCCTTTGGACAAGATCTTTGTAAACCAGACTTAACTTTACATTGAATATTAAGGTCAAATGTTTAAATTTCGCTTGATTTTTTGCTTAAATTGTCTGTAACTTTTTAATGAATGTTTTTAGATTGTCTTCATACATGTACTTAGAAACACCAATTGTTTTTGCAAGACCGTTAAGAAGACCAAATTGTTTATGACCTTCACTTATCAACGACCTTGGAGGTCAAGTTAAGTTAATGAATTTTGCTTAAGTTTTGCTTTTATTGGTTATTTATGAATAGATTGCCTTCATACTTGAGCACAACTACCTAGAGGGCAATGTTTTAATAAGATTGAAAACCATTAAGACTACCAGAGACTAATTTAAGCTATGCCATGTTACTGTGATATTCAACGGAGAAGTAATCTGAGAGTAACTAACTTTATGAATCTATAATGTTAATAAATAATCATCTAGAATCCAAAGGCTAGTACTAAAATGACAAACCGAAAAGAAACTATATGTTCAAATTTTGGTTGTTTGGTTTTGGCTAAAATTGTCATAACTTAATAATTTACGTACAGGTTGTATGCTTAATTACTTGAAGAATACAATTTTTTGACGACACCCGTATGTTTAATATTCAAAAATATGATCTTGACTTGTAAGTGACCTTCCTCCGATGTTTTTGTTTTAGAAATACGAAACCCTCGAGCGTGGTCCGCGCCTGGCGGTGGTTTTGTGATATGTTTTTCTTAAAAATGTTGTTGTTGTTGTTGTTGTTTTTCTCCTTTTTATAAAGGGGTTATCTTGTGCAGTGATTATGTAGGATGCACAGAAATAAATATGCGCATGTGCCAGAAGCGTCTTTAAGTTCAAGTATATGGAAGTTATTAATTGTTATTATCAATTCAAAATACAAGCAATACAAGCAATAAAGTTATATGTTAACCTTCAATATATAATATAGTCTCATTTTATACAAAATAGACTTGAATGCACATTTGCGACATAGATGAACTATCCCTGTTTGCAATTGGTAAAATTATAGTAAATAAAGCCAAAATACTATACTTTGTTTACACTTTGACACATTACTTAACGTTCAGCTGTAAAATATCTCCTAATCTAAATCCATTATTTAAAATCATTATTAACACATGTTTGGCATTTCATATTGATTTCTGAGGCATAATGTGCCTTTAAAATATAAACTTATGTCACACGCCGACTACAAAATATTGCGCACTCATTTGGGTGTTACATATGTATGGTGACATGTAGTGACCAAATATATCCTATATTAGGGTATCATTATATTCATTATTATTAGACAAGAAAAACGTTGATAAAACTGCCACTAGAATCGTCGATACTAAGATTGTCCTGGCTAAGTTGCTGAAGAAGGTGGTCAGAGGGATACAAGTAAAATGGTTTCCTGCGGTGAACATTTTAATGATATAAAGATATTTCATTTAACTATTTTCAACATTTTTTGGTGGTGGGGGGATAAATAAACGTTTGTATCAGGAATATAGTTGGCAATTGAATAAACGATCGATATAAAAGAAGGTCTTTGGAAACTGGTGACCATAGAAGACCGGAGAAGGTCGAACATAAACAATTATCTCTTTTTAAGAAAATGATTCAATAGGACTACCATTTTATGAATAATTCCGAGCAAAAAATAGATAAAGTAAACACACAAGTTTACGCAGAAAATATCTCTATTTATTAAGGCATATGCCACTATGAATATTTTAATTTTGTAGATTTTCAGTATAAACAATTTATTGTTTGTAAAATTTGAGATAGATATCAAAGAAATATTGATAATATTCAAACACATCATTCAAGTTTTCCACATTAAACGGTAAAATAATTATAGAAAATTAGAAATATCACGTCATAGTTTTTTGTTCTTAATTAGGTGTAATTCGGACTAATTCCCTACAGGTAAATCCGTAACCGGCAAACGGTATTTAGATAGGTTTTGGCGAAAAGGTTAATTAACCAATCGTGTACGGTTTACAGATCACATGCTCCTCCATGTACCGAAAACAGGTCACGTGCTCCTCCATGCCTCAAAAGTTAAACGCGTACCAATACGTGCGGTCTCCGCACCGCAGGAAATAATTGTTACACATTTACAGTAACTGACCAGATACGGGATGTATGGATCTGTAGAAAACCATATTGGAGCTACACCTAAACTCCGGTATCCGGTCGGTAACAAAAATGTTTATATAATCACAGGGACCCAGCACAGTGTTGGGATAGTGTAATTTAAAAACAAATATATATATTGTATATATAATATATAGACAAGGGGTGGAACTCGCAAAATCGGCCGAATGCCCCTAGTCCAGTATAAGTCAAAATTTCAAAGTAATTCTTGCGTAAATTATATAAAGCTATATATCAAATTGCAGCTAAATGACATCACTAGACGTTGTTAATAACATTACTGTCCCCACTTTAACCGTTTTTGAACAACAAACCGATATTTCGGATGAAACATCGTATTTTTGCTAGGTCGGACAAAACTGTGCAGCCCGTCAACACTCGATTTTCTACGTGTAATTTTAACGCAATTCCAGACCATGTCAATATACCAACCCACAATAAATCGATAAAACAAATTAAAATAAACAACTTAGTGCTGGAAATTGTTCCAAAACCAATCAATTATAGCAAACATTCATTTCTTTTTATTTCTCTTCCGTCAAAATATTTTTTGAAGCCATGATACATACTCGGCAACGGTTGTAAGACATCGTTTGATTGGACGATTCTGTGACCCAGCAATGCTTTGTATTTTAATCAACCAATGAAATAATCCGTTTCAAATTGGTCACGTGATAGCCAATGGATGGTGATTACAACTTTCATTTTCACATTCAGGAATTAATTGTTTACAGACGCTATAAAACATTTTAAAAATCAATTTCCGGCGGTAAGTTGTTTCTTTTGTTTTGTATTATCGATTTATTGCGGGTTGATATAATGTCATGGTTTGGAATTGCGTTTTTACACGTAGAAAATCGAGTGGGGACAGGTTGCACGGTTGTGTCCGACCTAGCAAAAATACGATGTGTCATCCGAAATAACGGTTTGTTGTTCAAAAACGGTTTAAGTTGGGACAGTAATGTTATTGTCAACGTCTAGTGATGTCATTTAGCTGTAATTTGATATATAGCTTTATATGATTTACGCAAGAATGACTTTGCAATTTTAACTTATACTGGACTAGGGGCGTTCGGCCGATTTGGCGAGTTCCACCCCTTGTCTATATATTATATATAAAGTATAAAAAAATTTCTAGAATTACTTTTTTTACACTATCCCAACACAGTGCCGGGTCCCTTTGTATATAATTCAGACTGGTGTTTTAATTCTAGTTATATTGAATGATCTTCAAAAATTCATTCTTTTTATTTCTATACCTGTTCAACGGAATCTTATGTAAACCGTATGTTTTCATTTTTACCAAATATAAGTCGTCAGTTAAAGAAACGCCACCATGGTTTTTGACATGGCGGGACTGGAAATATTTTTTCTAGATTATTGTTCCATTTGATGTAGGGTTAGACCAATGACGTGTGTGCAAAAGTTTGAGATCATTCGCCCTGAATGATTATTTAAATTGTGAAAATGACCAAAAAGGAAAAGCTTTGTACCCAAACCGACATAGGAATAGCACAAAATAGGATATTCAATTTATTTCTGAGTATAATTCTTAATAGCCTTAGTGGAGTTCCTTTAAAATGTGAATTCTGATTGTTGTTAGACATTTTACTTTTTCTTTAGCTCAGTGGATTGTGGGTTCATTATGGCATGTACTTCTGTTTGATTCAACGATAATTGTTCAGTTGCACACTGGCCATAGCTTTCGCAGAAGCGGTGGGTCTACCGCAGCGACGTTGGAGTATTCGTCGCAGAAGCGGTGGATAAAATATGGCCGTTTGTTGTTTTCGGTAAGTATATGACTGAATTTTGTTTTTTGTTTTAATGTTTTACTGGAAACACTCAGTGAGACTGGAGCCCACATATGTACTCTTTCAACCTATTACAAGGACACGGTGCAATTCATTACCGTTTATGCAAATACTTCTGTACAGTTTGATGAGGGGACGCCACTTTTGCCTAATTTTGGTTAAAACACATACAAATGTGTGCAAAACGACCCCATAATGCATCGGCATCACATCCAATCAATGATACTTTCACAAATTAACCATAATTTGGAAAATTTGGAAATTATTATTGCCTGTTTATAAAATAAATGACAAAAAATGTTTTCGTCGCAGACGGCGGTGGATTCGATTGCAACGCAGTGCGGTGGGCCCGATACCATTTTTGTATATTTTAAGAATTTAACTTGACGTAAGGCATTTTTCAATTGAGTACAGCCCTTTTCTTACTTTGACATCTGAGAAACGTGCTTATTTGATGTTTAAAACGATATTAATTATTATATATACGTTCGTACAAGTATATGTCCGAGGTCCGCTTTCATTTTCTTGCCATTGAAAATTACTTCAGCCATAATTATCATTGAATAATCTACGTTCAACCTTGGACTTAAAAAGACCGTAAGTTCATTTTTGTCATACAGACATATAAAAGATACTCGTAAAGATAAACAGAACATGCTTCTTGAATACGAAAAACAACCTCAGTTTTTAATGTCACTGTGTTATATTACCAAATAGTGAGAACACTAATATAAATAAATTTTATGTTAACAGCGTAAGAGTTATTTCAGGAAAAGTTTTTTCTCCATTACTTTTTAGTAAAGACCTACGCGTTTTTTCTTCTTTTTCTTAAATTGGGACATAAAAAAAAAATGGTTTCAGATATGGTATATGTTTAAAGAATTTTAAAGTATGAAATGAAATTTAAAAAAAGGTAATAGAAGTATTTTATGGAATTAAGTCTTTCTTTAAAAATGTACAAAAATATAGTAAAGAACTTAATAAGCGGGAGAAAAAAGATTTTTCAGAATTACATTTAAGTTATATGACCTTGAAATAACCACAATTAAGGAAAAAATCAAATTCACGTACAGGAAATGAGATCGGTGACCCCTAGTTTTTTTTCCGCTCTAAATGTTTATGTCATCATATTCTAGCATCATGCTTAATTTAAAGAATATAATTATATTGAACCTCCTTAATTTTGCGTGTATGTGTTTATAATACTGCACATTTGTTACGTCACTTTTAATTGGATAATCGTGACGTTTATATACATACAATGTACTTTTTAAATACATGGCTGCCGTCGATTTATGAAATTATCTCATTTTTCTCTAACAAAAAATGCTTGATGTATTATGAGTTCGTTGTAAATAAATCCAACAGATTTTATGGTCGTATTTAAACGGTTGTTCGCAATATTAATGGCTATCGATCGAAAATTTTTTATACTTGTACATGTTGTAAACATCAGAAAATAAAGTTACAACTAAACCAAAGAGCTCTATAATTATATAAACGTCTCGATTTTCCAATCAAACATGCAGTATTATAAAGCTTATATATTTATGTACACGACTGCTGTTTATTTAATAAGAAATTTTATGTTTATGTTTTATATTTGAAAAACAACCGTTTATATACGGCCATATTGTATAGCCTTTCAAAATCTTTAT